TGTATTCATATGATGGTATAGAACATTTTGATTGTTATGATGAATATATTTAAAAAATATATATATAATAATTTAAGAATCACTGAAAGAGTTAAGGCCAAGGCCAGAGGAAAAAATAAGTTTAAAATAATGTAATCGTTATTAAAAATTATTTAATAAAAATAATTTAAAAAGAAAATTTACAGTAAAACCAGATTTTGAAAGTCGATTCCAAGGTATGTATGCCCCTTGATTTCGAAAACGTTACCTACGAAAAAGTTAAGTAATTTTAGAAATTATTTATATTACCCCTTAAAATTAGTAAGACTATTTAGAATAAAAATTTATTATTTATTTAATATATTTATTTTTTTATAGAAACCATCTTTAAAAATACTATTTTTAGCTCTAGGAAATGTTCTTCGCTTTTGGTATCTTTAAATGTAAAAATATCAGAAATACCTCATTCTTTTTATAGGAAATACTTGTATGTTAAAATTTGTTAATTTTTTGATACTTTAATTTTAATTTAATATTAATTTATAATAACATTCAAATTAGAAGTATAATTAAGGTAATTATTACTAATTTGTAATGATGTTTGTGATAACCAAATTATAAGTGTAATTAAGATGGTTATGATAATTTTTAATAATAGTTGCTGTATCCAAAGTTTTAATATTTTTCTTTTCCGATTATAATAACAGCTAAATTTGATGAGGATGTTATCATTACCAAACTGATACACTAACTTTATTTATTTTAAAATTTTAAATTATTTATCACTTTATTTCTATAAACTTTATTTAAAGGGTCGGATTTATTGTAATGTAAATGTTTTGTGTACTTTTAATAAGTATTTATAATATATATATATATATATATAGTATATATATATATAGATATATATCTTTTTCATTCTTTGTTTATAACTGTATCACTAAACCACTTTATTACTCATAATTGTTATCCATATGCATGTAATGTTTATTAAAAAACTGCATCATTAATTAATAAAATTTAGAAACCAAAATATATAAAAATTTGAAACAAAATAGATTTCAGTTTTACATTTAATCTATAACTACAGACATATTTAATATATATATATCATATAATATATCATTTATAGATATATATCATATAATATATAATAAACTTATCAATGATAAGCTTTATCCTACGAAATCTTTATTCATTAATTTATCAATATAAATATATATTACAAAACTTTATTACATGGATTAAGGCAAAATCAATAAACATGTTCATTGAATTAGTGTTTATAAATATGACCATATTTATGTCACAAATAGATTAACAATATATCTCTTAATCAATAATAAAATAAAATAAATAGTTATAATAATAATATCTTAATATCTCCTTAAATTGGAACATGTAGATCTTTATTAACTTGAATAGAAGATACTCAAATTGTGTTTTTTTTTTTCAAACCTTTGTAAAATATTACTATTAGTGTTACTTTAGTAGGAAGGTATGAGAGACAAATGATGTTAATTGCATTATGAATAAAAATAACACTTAACTTTGTTGGAAATCTTAAACCATTGACTAGAAACAAGGTCAATTTATATTATATAATTGAATACAAACAATTTTTATTAGATTGAGATAAGTTTAAACTTCACTTCCTAACATAGTATCAAAGCTAAGTTAAAGTCTATTCTAACGAAATTTATTATCTGTTGGACATATTGTTACCCATTTTTTGGCCCCTGTGAGCTAACTCATTAATGTATAGTATCATGTTCATGCTCGGTGTATATATATATCGACACAAGAGAAGTATGATGGAAGTCTCACGTCGACTAAAAATAAGGTCGTTTTTCATTTTAATGTTAGTATTTAATTTTTATGCTTAATGTTTGTTCTAATTTGATCTTCCTTACATGATCTTCTTAGATGTTGAAAAATGTCATTCAAACTTAAAATTGAAATTGAGTGGCTAATAAAATCTTGTATCTAATCTCAATAGTATATGGGAGGACCATCCCATATTTCATAACTTATCCACACGATGAGATTGTGATTGATTTTTTCCGTAAAAAAACACATACATGTAGTAAATAATACATCATAAGTCTCATATCCAATATCATACTCAATATTATTACACTATATTACTCTTCATTTTACCAATCATAATTAGAGACTAAAAGATTAGTAATGATATTTTTTTAGTCGTTATTACATTAACATATATCTTAGTTAAGTTTGTGAGTAATCATGCTGTAGTTATTCTCTTAATAAAAATTCAAAATATTTTTAAAGTTTAGTTATATATATGAATTCTTTTAATTTCTAATTTGCATTTGTCTAAATCTAATAAAATTTCTCTTGATTTGTAAATCCATTAAACTTACCAGCTTATTTTATAATTAAAAAAATATAGTTTGTTTCAAAAAATTAAGTTTTTATATTATTTATATAAATATATGATAATATTAGTGTAGCTTAGATCATTAATTTGTCAAATTATTAATTATAATGAAGTAATTTAAGGTGATTTTAATTTATTTCGAGCAATACGTTAATTAATCAATTAAAAAAATTAAAAATATTATATGATTAAAGATATTTTAATATATATATATATATATATATATATATATTATTTTTATTTTGAGTAATTATGTATTTTGAAAAAGAAAATGGTCTTTTTTAAAAAAGGAGTAGGTGTTTTAAAATAATGTATGATAAATGATTAATGTAAATTTTTTTATGTTAACATATATATTTGGTTTTCTATACATTATTTAATACGTTTCAAAACAATATAATATATAATATTTATTAGGGTACTCAATAACAGGTTGAATACAACAATACTAATTTTAAACTACATAATTAATGTGATAATAAAGATTGTTACAATCAATTATGACACCGTTCAATACAGAATTTAATGTTGCCAGAATTATTGAAATTAATATAATTTATTGCAATGTAATACTACTTTTTTTTTATCAGTTCAACGGATAGAATGATATCACAATATGTTGAACTTAAGATCAATTTTCACATTTTGTGAATTTATAACAAAATAATAATTTTCACATTTTACTTGTAATTTTTTAAAAATATATCGAAATTAAATTTAAAGGAAAAATAATAAATAAGGGTATCCCATGTACACAGATTTTCGTTCAATATAATAAATATTTAAAAGAAATATGTTTTATTACCTTTTATTTGTCCTTTCGGTTCAAGGGCTACCCTCACAGTCGGCCTTGGCCCATTTGATTAAAATACATAAACAATACTACTTGTTTCAATCAATATTTAACTTTTGTTTTTAAGTGTGTTTATTTATACATGTACATTTTAAATATTGCCAATTAAATTAAACTTTTTATTTTTGGATTAGCAATACAATTATAAACTAAAATTTTCAGATGAAAAAAGACATTTCTAATTTGTAATCATGTAGTTAATATTTACTTTATATATGTGTGTATACATATATAATATGTTCGATTGAGTTAATCTAATGGCATGTTAAACTTCTAAAGTTTTATAAAAGAAATACATAGATTTAATCTATAATGATTGAAAACTTTTAATTTAATAAGTACATCATACATATAAAATTTATGTTAAACTGAATATGTTTCCACATTTTTTTAATGAAAATTAGAAAATGTTGTACAATTGCCACTTGTCAAAGGCCCCATGAACTTCATTGAAGCTATTTTATACTCTATTTTTTATAGATATAGTTTCAGCAAAAGATCCACCAGCTAAGCCTAAGATCCTATCACCACAAGATCCACCACCCAATAATTATTTTTCGTATTCAATAACAGTCATCCCAATTAATATCTCATTCATCTACTTCATCCTTCTGTTACCATTATTAATTTCACCCTAACACATTAATTATATAATCTAAAAACTATATTAATTGTACGATATATAGTTTTTAAAAAATATCCCCTCCACTGTCTCTTTTCATCATTTCAATCATCTTATCACATTTCTGTCCTTTTTTTTTCTTTTTAATGATAAAAAAATATGTAAATATTTTTTTTTCTATTGAGAGTTGTAAATGTACAATGGGAAAAATATATATCATAAAAGTGTAAAATTATTGGACGGTGGATTTAATCCGTACAAAATAATTGTCCTACTTCTGTAGTCCTATCCTTATCCCCTGTTCTTAATTAATTGCAAATGCATATCTCTCACCATTTATACCTATCCATCGTGGTACCAACCATGCATGTGAATATTTTTTACCAAATTACTGTGTTTTTACAAAGAATAACCCTCTTTTGAGTTACAGTTATTTAATGTATGATGTTCTTTATTGGTTTAGTTCATTTTGTTAACTTAGAGTTATTGTAGATTCTCTTACCTGTATTTAACTTTTAATATAGAAAATGAAGTTTTACCTAAAGTGCACCTCTAGTAGCTGCAAGCAACCTCTCTCTCTTCACAAACAGACAAAAGAATTGACCTAAAAATTCATATTTTTTTCATTTTATTTTATTTCTCAAGAGAAATTGGTTTAAACTTTAACTTTGGTTTACTATGAGTTGTCATATTCATTCATTAGTCCAATTCAACTGCCTAAACAACGAAAACAGGTTGATTCAACTTGGTTCAAATTTCTAAGGAGTCATGTTTTTTGAAGTTGACCAAATCGGTTCAATTATTTAGTAAAAGTATTGAACAAAATAAATGGTTTAAAAACTTTGTTTCATATGTATGATACGTTTCAAACATGATTGAATGAGAAAAGAGAACGAAAAAGAAAGAAGAGAACTTGAACTTTGTTTAAATCCCTTTTGCACATATGAAGTATGAATAATGATACATGGTTTACAAATTACAGTTGTCACCTATATATCCTTATTTTACATTTGCATTTTACAGATTATAGTAACATCTTTCTTTCTGTTTACACTTCATATGATGTTTTTGCTATTTGCAAAACTTGGCTGGAGCTGTCAAACTTGCTTGACAGACGATTACTTAATGGCAGAACGAATGTTTCAGTTCTTGATTTGTTGCACGGTTTGGACAGAAATAGAATGTTTGAGATCACCAATGTGGAGTTCATGCTCACCAGATGGGATTCTTCGAATGCCGAACTGGTCCACGACGGACAAATGTTTGCAGACATGAACACCAACCTTCAGACGCTGCTTCGACCCAGCAGGAACATGGGTCTTCTGAAAGTTCACTAGTTGTTTGATCTGAGACCATTTTCCAGGTGGTGGTTTCGAGAATACAAGAAGGGTGTGGGTGCCATCCATGGAGCCTTCGTTTTTCACTTCCACGTGGAATTCCATCTCCAATGTATCATCACAATTTGCGTGGCTCACCCTCACTGCTTCGCTTGAAAGGGTTGAGTTTGTCAAGGCTTGGAGAGTGGCTAAGGGCACTGACACTGACACCTCTTTTGGAGCAATGGCTAAGCTCTGGCTGAATCTCGAGTAACTTAACCCATGTCCTAATGGGAACACCACAGGTCCTTTGTAGAATCTGTAGGTTCTTCCTGGGTACCCCGTTGCTGAGTTTGGACGCATGTCCATGATTGTCATGGGTACTTTAGTCAAATACTTTTCCGGGTACCATGTCATGGGTAATCTTCCTCCTGCGTCACATAACCCAAATTTGAATATTCTACCTTTATATTCACGCGTCATGTAAAATAAACCGACGAAAAAGACGATGTGGGACTAAATTTACCTGGGTTAGTNTTCACATTTTACTTGTAATTTTTTAAAAATATATCGAAATTAAATTTAAAGGAAAAATAATAAATAAGGGTATCCCATGTACACAGATTTTCGTTCAATATAATAAATATTTAAAAGAAATATGTTTTATTACCTTTTATTTGTCCTTTCGGTTCAAGGGCTACCCTCACAGTCGGCCTTGGCCCATTTGATTAAAATACATAAACAATACTACTTGTTTCAATCAATATTTAACTTTTGTTTTTAAGTGTGTTAATTTATACATGTACATTTTAAATATTGCCAATTAAATTAAACTTTTTATTCTTGGATTAGCAATACAATTATAAACTAAAATTTTCAGATGAAAAAAGACATTTCTAATTTGTAATCATGTAGTTAATATTTACTTTATATATGTGTGTATACATATATAATATGTTCGATTGAGTTAATCTAATGGCATGTTAAACTTCTAAAGTTTTATAAAAGAAATACATAGATTTAATCTATAATGATTGAAAACTTTTAATTTAATAAGTACATCATACATATAAAATTTATGTTAAACTGAATATGTTTCCACATTTTTTTAATGAAAATTAGAAAATGTTGTACAATTGCCACTTGTCAAAGGCCCCATGAACTTCATTGAAGCTATTTTATACTCTATTTTTTATAGATATAGTTTCAGCAAAAGATCCACCAGCTAAGCCTAAGATCCTATCACCACAAGATCCACCACCCAATAATTATTTTTCGTATTCAATAACAGTCATCCCAATTAATATCTCATTCATCTACTTCATCCTTCTGTTACCATTATTAATTTCACCCTAACACATTAATTATATAATCTAAAAACTATATTAATTGTACGATATATAGTTTTTAAAAAATATCCCCTCCACTGTCTCTTTTCATCATTTCAATCATCTTATCACATTTCTGTCCTTTTTTTTTCTTTTTAATGATAAAAAAAATATGTAAATATTTTTTTTTCTATTGAGAGTTGTAAATGTACAATGGGAAAAATATATATCATAAAAGTGTAAAATTATTGGACGGTGGATTTAATCCGTACAAAATAATTGTCCTACTTCTGTAGTCCTATCCTTATCCCCTGTTCTTAATTAATTGCAAATGCATATCTCTCACCATTTATACCTATCCATCGTGGTACCAACCATGCATGTGAATATTTTTTACCAAATTACTGTGTTTTTACAAAGAATAACCCTCTTTTGAGTTACAGTTTTTTAATGTATGATGTTCTTTATTGGTTTAGTTCATTTTGTTAACTTAGAGTTATTGTAGATTCTCTTACCTGTATTTAACTTTTAATATAGAAAATGAAGTTTTACCTAAAGTGCACCTCTAGTAGCTGCAAGCAACCTCTCTCTCTTCACAAACAGACAAAAGAATTGACCTAAAAATTCATATTTTTTTCATTTTATTTTATTTCTCAAGAGAAATTGGTTTAAACTTTAACTTTGGTTTACTATGAGTTGTCATATTCATTCATTAGTCCAATTCAACTGCCTAAACAACGAAAACAGGTTGATTCAACTTGGTTCAAATTTCTAAGGAGTCATGTTTTTTGAAGTTGACCAAATCGGTTCAATTATTTAGTAAAAGTATTGAACAAAATAAATGGTTTAAAAACTTTGTTTCATATGTATGATACGTTTCAAACATGATTGAATGAGAAAAGAGAACGAAAAAGAAAGAAGAGAACTTGAACTTTGTTTAAATCCCTTTTGCACATATGAAGTATGAATAATGATACATGGTTTACAAATTACAGTTGTCACCTATATATCCTTATTTTACATTTGCATTTTACAGATTATAGTAACATCTTTCTTTCTGTTTACACTTCATATGATGTTTTTGCTATTTGCAAAACTTGGCTGGAGCTGTCAAACTTGCTTGACAGACGATTACTTAATGGCAGAACGAATGTTTCAGTTCTTGATTTGTTGCACGGTTTGGACAGAAATAGAATGTTTGAGATCACCAATGTGGAGTTCATGCTCACCAGATGGGATTCTTCGAATGCCGAACTGGTCCACGACGGACAAATGTTTGCAGACATGAACACCAACCTTCAGACGCTGCTTCGACCCAGCAGGAACATGGGTCTTCTGAAAGTTCACTAGTTGTTTGATCTGAGACCATTTTCCAGGTGGTGGTTTCGAGAATACAAGAAGGGTGTGGGTGCCATCCATGGAGCCTTCGTTTTTCACTTCCACGTGGAATTCCATCTCCAATGTATCATCACAATTTGCGTGGCTCACCCTCACTGCTTCGCTTGAAAGGGTTGAGTTTGTCAAGGCTTGGAGAGTGGCTAAGGGCACTGACACTGACACCTCTTTTGGAGCAATGGCTAAGCTCTGGCTGAATCTCGAGTAACTTAACCCATGTCCTAATGGGAACACCACAGGTCCTTTGTAGAATCTGTAGGTTCTTCCTGGGTACCCCGTTGCTGAGTTTGGACGCATGTCCATGATTGTCATGGGTACTTTAGTCAAATACTTTTCCGGGTACCATGTCATGGGTAATCTTCCTCCTGCGTCACATAACCCAAATTTGAATATTCTACCTTTATATTCACGCGTCATGTAAAATAAACCGACGAAAAAGACGATGTGGGACTAAATTTACCTGGGTTAGTTTGACCAAAGATGACGTCAGCGATGGCAGTTCCCCCAGCTTGACCAGGATAGCCAACCCACAAAATGGCACTGATCTTTGGGTCATTCACCGCAAACGTGACATCAACTGGGCCACCGGACATGATAACCAAGATGACTGGGCCTCTGGCGGCCCTAGCCACCCTTGCAACGAGCTCTTGTTGGAGGCCTGGTAAGAGAAGCCCAAGTCTATCTCTGGTTTCTGCTTCTATGGACTGGTCAAGGCCCATTACCAGCACAGTGGCGTCAACTTGCTTAGCTACGGTCTCTGCTGCTCCGAACAGTTCGTTTCCCCTACAAGCCACATTCCTGCATCCAACTTGATGTGAAGTCTTCACATACCTCGCAATCCCTTGCAAAGGACTGGTATAACCACACGCCACACCTACCACAAAACATCATTCTACATCAACATTTTTCTCACAACAAGTACTATGTTAGTTATTATTAACTTGTTAAGTTGTTAACTGACCAGCATAGTTTCCTATCATTGTAACGGTGGCGTCCGAATTGGGTCCGATGACTCCTACGGTGCGGATTCGCGCAGGAGATAGTGGTAAGGAGTTTCTTTTGTTTTGTAACAATACTATGCTCTCTCTGGCTGCTTGAAGGGCCAGCTGTTGATGGGCCGGGGTGCACACGTCTCTTGGGCCCAAGTTTCCGTATGGTTGGGCCGAGGGTTCGCCGTCGAACATGCCCAATCTCATTTGGACCGTGATAAGGTTGGCCAAGGCAAGGTTAAGATCGTTTTCGGAAATGAGTCCCTTCCTAATGGCAGCGTCGGTGTGGATCGCCAAGAATGGGCCACAGTCCAAGTCCAGGCCCGCTTTTATGGCCTCCGCTGCCGCCTCCTCGGGTGTTCTTGTGTAGTGTTGGTTGTCATAGAAAACTCCAACCGAGTCACAGTCCGAGACTATGTACCTATTTGTTGTGTATGACAAAAACATGGTCAGAAAATTGTTAATACGTTAAACCAAAAGCCCAAGCCCAATTGAATATATTAGACTGACTAACCCATTGAGCCCCCATTGGCCGCGTATAGTGTTGCGAAGGAGATCAGGGTCAGCACACGTGGGCTTGCCATTCACCTGATTGTAAGAACACATCACACTCGCCACTTGTCCTTCCAACACGCAGGCTTTAAATGGCACGTCGTAAGTGTCCTCCAGATCCTGTTTGCTTACCTGCACGTGCGGCAACAAAAGCCCACAAGAGCAATTCAATTTGAGCCCATGCTTTTATATGGGCTTTAAAGCCCGCCTTTTTCATTTACTCTGAGTAATTTATTTAGGTTTATTTTTGGTTTGTTATTATTATTGGCACTTTTTTATTAAAGTCACGTCACGTCACACCATAATGAATGTGGGTTATGGCAATGGTTGTGTAAGTGGTGATTGCGTAGTTCGAGTGGCATGGGTGTCACTTATCCAACTAATTTGCAAGTGGGCGCAAGTCATTGTCTCAACAACTTGCATGAGTTCCAATTCAGCCAAATTCGGTTGTATTTTTTTCTTCCATCATACAAAACAACTAATTTGAATCGAAAGGACAACATCGACAGGTAGATCCACCTTACTAATATACACACATTTAGCCTTGCTTCCTCGCCAACATAGATAGATAGACATAACATAGCCATAACATGGCTGTGTATATATATTTATCCATGTCACCATTGGAGACATTTCACTATGCCAACAATTTCGTTTCCTCAAATTAGTTTAACCTCAAACAATCACAAAAAGCAACGAATAAAAAAACCATGTATAATAAAGTGTAAAAATAGTTTGACAAATAATGAAAAAAATAACAATAATAATACCTTGGCATTGAAATGAAACCTGTCTACGCCATTCCAGTTGTCAAGGTCATAGGCAGTGTAGTGTTTACAACAAGCAGCGACCTTGAGGCGGTTTCCGGCGCCGTCGCCTTGGAGTCCTTGGACATAGCTGGCGGCGTATTTTGCGGCGAGGGTTGGGTCTTCGCCGGGAGTCTCTTGGCCGCGGCCCCACCGTGGGTCGCGAAAAATGTTGACATTTGGACTCCAATACGTCAAACCAGCCTGTCCACCGTTGTACATTGCTCTTGCTTCATCAGACACCACCTGCATATATATCCATGAATGATTAATTAGGTACATTTGTTTTTCGGCAGTAGGTCCATATGCATGATTACTTAGCCACATCTTTTTTTAGTAAATTCTTA